TTATGGTTTTCGAGTTATAACAATTTAAAGAAAATGTTCAACAGAAATCTACCTACTAACAACTTCTGTTGACCTGGTGTTAAGCCAATTTTTGAAATTTTGTTTTTTCGTTTTTTGTGGTTTAAATTAATTGTTGGATTTTGTTTGATAACTCTGTGAATGTTATAGATAATTGAATGAAATTCGGCTGGTAGATAGATAAAGAAATGAGGATTAATTTTCTTAAAACAAAAATACTGCCCATTGCACAGTGCAAAAAGTGGGCGTAAACTTAATACTACTATTTTCAATAAATTGTGTTGTTTTTTGGGAGGCAAAATATATCGATGGATAAGTTGGATTCCTTAGCTTTCATATGCAATGAGTTTTATGTATATATACCAAACGGTTCTTGAGATATAGTCATTGAAACTTTACCTTAAAGTAGTAAATTATCATAAAATGAGACTTAAGAAGGTTTTTCAAATTCTTCCATATCTCTAATACTATTACAGATATTGAAACAAAATTTGGTAGGTTATTGAAATATGAATTCCAGATTCCCATAAGCTATAAAGAATTTCCATAAGTTCATTATTTCCCGAGATATAAGTGTTTAAACTTTATTTAGCATTTTTAGCTATTTCATTGTAATGTCAGGCGGGCCAAAGGTTAGCTATCCATTAGTTATGTTTGGAGAAGCTGAATTCCTTATCTTTCATATGCAAAGAGTTCCATGTAAATATAGCAAGCGGTCCCTGAGATATAGCAATTGAAACTTTACCTTGAAGTAGTAAATTATCACAAAATGCCACAGCAGAATGTTAGGCAAATTATTCCATATCTCTAATACGTTTAGAGATATTGAAATAATACTTGGTAAGTTAAAGAAATATGAATTCCAGATTCCCATAAACTAGGAAGAATTTCCCTAAGTTTATTATTTCACGAGATATAAGTGTTTAAACTTTAGGTAGCATTTTAAGCTATTAAATAGTACTACCAGGCGGGCCAAAGGTTGCCCATCGTTTCACTCCACCTCTTTTCCTGGTGTATCAATTTATTTCAACTGACAACACTAAAAAAACACCATTTTAATCAATTTATTTTTTAAGTTTTCTTTATTTTTTTATGTATTTCAATAAATTTTTCCTTTTTATTTAATTATTCATTAATTAATTTTAATATTATTATTATTTTAGATATAATTACTTTTGAATATTTATGTATGTGTATGGATAATAAGTTTAATACATATTATTAAAAAATATATATTTATAAACTAAAAAAACACAATTATTTATTTACTTTTAATTACTTTTGTTTTTGTTTTTTTTTTAATACAAACAAATTTTAACTTTAAGATAATTGTGATAAATTTACTTTTAAAAGTAGCTAATTTTATTAATAAAAATAAACAGAAACAACATGAAAAAAATAATAGAAAAAAAGTTAAGTTAATAATTAATAAAAAAAATTAATTTTTAATTTTGTTTGTAACAAAAATTAATTAAATTTTGATTTTTCTTTTAAAGTGAAAATAAACTGCTTAAACGTTCAATAATGCCAAAGTTGGATTTAAAAAAAAAATATTTATTATTTAAAAGAATGTTATTTATTTTACATTTAAAACATTTAAGGCTCGTTTTTCGACAATAATGCTACCCGGTTTTATGGTTAGGGCGTAGGAGGAGGCTTTCAAGGGGAGGGGGGATGGTTTTATGCTTAAAAATACCTTTTTTTATTATTTAAGATCAGTTTGTTTTGTTTTTGTTTTGCTTTTGCGTGCTTTCTTTTATTGTTTTTATATATAAAATACTTTATGTTTAGATAATTGTTTATATTTTCACTTAATAAATACAAAATACACACCACTCTACAGGCTTATAAATACTGTATAGAACTATTGTTTTTTTTATATAGACTAATTTTTGTTTTTATTTATTTGGGTTGATTGGTTTTATTAATACAAAGTTTTTCATTTTGTTGGAAAATATACATAGATCCTTAAGCAAATCTTTGCTTTGGAAAATGTTCATTATTTCTTTATAATTTAATCTAAAACTTATAGATTTTTTTAAAAGTTCTGTAAAGTTTTCTAAACAAAAGATTTCAAAAAGTTTAATTCTATAAGTTTACTTTAAAAAGAAACATTTAAATAGTTTTCATTTGGGATTCATATTGATATCGAATAATATCGCAATACCCACACGACATTTTCAGTTATAAACTTTTGATAAGTAGTCCACATAGTAGTCTGTAGATCAGCCTGTAGGCTATAGCCTAGTGTAGTCTATAGTCAAGTCTATGGTCTAGTAAATAGACTAGTCTATAGTCAAGTCTATAGTTAAGTCTATAGTCCAGTATATGATCTAGTCTCTACTCTAGTAAATAGACTAGTCTATAGTTTAGTCTATAGCCTAGTCTACAGTCTAGTCAATAGCCTAGTCTGTAGTCAAGTCTATAGTCTAATCTATAGTCTAGTCTATAGTTTTGTCTATAGTCTAATCTATAGTATAGTCTAGTCTATAGACAAGTCTATAGTCTAGTCTATAGACAAGTCTATAGTCTAGTCTATAGACAAGTCTATAGTCTAGTCTATATACTAGTCTATAGTCTGGTCTATAGTCTAGACTATAGTTTGGTCTATAATCTAGTCCATAATTTAGTCTATAGTTTAGTTCATAGTAAGTCCATACTCAAGAATATAGTCTAGTCCATAGTTTAGTCTATAGTATAGTATATTGTCTAGTATATAGTCTAGTATACAGTCTAGTCTATAGTCTCGTATATAGTTTATCCTATAGTCTAGTCTAGCCTATAGTCTAGTCTATAGTATAGCCTATAGTCTAGTCTATAGTCTAGCCTATAGTCTAGTCTATAGTCTAGCCTATAGTCTAGTCTATAATTTAGTCTATAGTTTAGTCAATAGTCTAGTCTATAGTCTAGTCCATAGTCTTGTCTATAGTCTAGTCAATAGTATAGTCCAGTCAATAGTCTAGTCTATAGTCTAGTCTATAGTCTAGTCTATAGTCTAGTCCATAGTCTAGTCTATAGTCTAGTCTAAAGTCTAGTCTATAGTCTAGTCTATAGTTTAGTCTATAGTCTAGTCTATAGTCTAGTCTATAGTTTAGTCTATAGTCTAGTCTATAGTCTAGTCTATAGTCTAGTCTATAGTCTAGTCTATAGTCTAGTCTATAGTTTAGTCTATAGTCTAGTCTATAGTCTAGTCTATAGGCTAGTCTATAGTCTAGTCTACAGTCTAGTCCATAGTCTAGTCTATAGTCTAGTCTATAGTCTAGTTAATAGTCTAGTCTATAGTCTAGTCTATAGTCTAGTCTATAGTCTAGTCTATAGTTTATTCTATAGTCTAGTCTATAGTCTAGTCTATAGTCTAGTCTATAGTCTAGTCTATAGTCTAGTCTATAGTCTAGTCTATAGTCTAGTCTATAGTCTAGTCTATAGTCTAGTCTAGTCTATAGGCTAGTCTATAGTCTAGTCTATAGTCTAGTCTAGTCTAGTGTCTTGTCTATAGTCTAGTTTATACTGTAGTCTATAGACTAGTTTATACTCTAGCCTATAGTCTAGTTTATACTGTAATCTATAGACTAGTTTATACTCTAGTCTATAGACTAGTTTATGCTATAGTCTAGTCTATAGATAATCTATAGGCTAGTCCATAGTTTTGTCTATAGTTTATTATATAGTCTAGCCTATAGTCTAGTCTATAGTCTAGTTTTTAGTCTAGTTTATAGTCGTTTCAAATACACACTCCGACAAAACGGAAATAAAGTCAGATCCCAGATATATTTTTAATCTAAAGTTTTAAACTAGTTTAAAGTGGAATTAAAATTTGCTGTAACAGTTCTACTGTGACCATTAGTTATACACTTAGGTGGAGTATGACTCGTGTCGTTTAGGTGTGAGGATCCAATTATTGTAAAATCGTAAAAAATTTAATTGAAATTTGCTTTTGTAAAACTGAAACAATGAAATTAATAACTACGGAAACCATAACGATTGGAATACTTATGTAACAGACCTGATAAAAGATTTGTACAGAAACACAAAAAGAAATCAATTTCTAAACTTTAAATTACAAATTTTTGAAAATGTTGTCCCATTGTGTAATAAATCATCTAATATTGTTGTAACTAACAGTTAATCATAACTTTTTTTTAAATAATTTATTACTTTTTCTCATATTAGTTGTTTCAAGATCTCAAAAACTACATCAAATTCTAAAACGTTTCTACTTTTCCAACTGTCTACAATAAATTCTAACAAAATACATTATATTTAGCAACTTTGTATTAATTACTTTCGCAATAAACTCAGAGAGAGAGAGAGTGAGAGATATATATATTTGAGTTTTACATATATAAAACTTTTTTGAAAAATTTTATATTTTTTTATTATTTAATATATGTACGTATTTATATATATAATAATAATAATAATTATTATTTTCTATTAAATAAATATTTATCAAAAAATACATTTTATTAAAAACAAAACATGCCAAAAGATAAAGTAAAGAAAAAATAAAATCAAAACCCGAAACCATTTTATTATTGTTTTAGAATGTTTGTTTGTTTGTTATTCTTCAAGTTTCTTCCAAATAAATGTTCTTTTCTTTAAATAACTACCATATAAATTGTTTAGAAAGGGGGGGGGGGTGTTTAAATAAAAGTTAAAAAGTGTTTTCTATATGTTGCTTGTAGTTGTATTGGTTGGTATGTATTTATAGTATATATTTTATATAAAACTGCAATATTTTTTTAAAATATAAATTTTACACTTAAAATTACAAAAAAAGTTAAAAAAAAAAACAGAAAAAAAGAGTAAATTAAAGAAACATGTTGAGAGAAAAAATTAAAATAAAAACATTTATAAACATTTGGAGAAAAAAAAATTAATGAAATTAATTTAAAAAATTACAAATTATTAACAGTTTCCTGATCCTAAAAATTGTTTAACCTTTTTTAAAACTTTTTTTTCATATGATTTCAATTATTATGTTTTTTTTTTTCAATTTAAGCCAATTCAATTGGCAGCTGGTTTTTTTGTTACTTGTTTAGTTTTATTTTTTATAAAAAATATTGGGGAAGGTTTGCTGTTGTTTAATTCTTAAAATTTAAACACTAAATATTTGTTGTTTGTTTTTTTAAATTTATATTTAAAATTTTAATTATGTTTAATTTTGTGCCTCGACTGTATTAGTTGTTGCGCTAGATGATGTTGTTGTTGTAGTGGTGTTGTCGCTTTCTTTTTGGTCTTCACCTAAGGCTGCTGCAGAGTTAGCAGTTGTTGGTGTAGGCGTCGGTGTTGGTGTTGTAGAGGTTGCGGGTGAGAAGCCATCTGTTTCGTCATCGGCCACTTCGGCTCTAGCTGTGATGTCACTTGGAGTTTCCTAAACGGTTAAGAAGGAACAGCATGTCAGTAAGTTGTTTTTGCAAAAGTAAATTTGAAAAGTTATGATACAAAAACTATAGACTTTATAGACTAGACTATAGACTAAATTATAGACTAGACTATAGACTAGATTATAGACTAGATTATAGACTAGACTATAGACTAGACTATAGACTAGACTATAGACTAGACTATAGACTATACTATAGACTAGACTATAGACTAGACTATAGACTAGACTATAGACTAGACTATAGACTAGACTATAGATTAGACTATAGACTAGACTATAGACTAGACTAGACAATAGACTAGACTATAGACTAGACAATAGACTAGACTATAGACTAGACTATAGACTAGACTATAGACTAGACTATAGACTAGACTATAGACTAGACTATTGACTAGACTATAGACTAGACTATAGACTAGACTATAGACTAGACTATAGACTAGACTATAGACTAGACTATAGACTAGACTATAGACTAGACTATAGACTAGACTATTGACTAGACTATAGACTAGACTAAAGACTAGACTATAGACTAGACTATAGACTAGACTATAGACTAGACTATAGACTAGACTATAGACTAGACTATAGACTAGACTATAGACTAGACTATAGACTAGACTATAGACTAGACTATAGACTAGACTATAGACTAGACTATAGACTAGACTATAGACTAGACTATAGACTAGACTATAGACTAGACTATAGACTAGACTATAGACTAGACTATAGACTAGACTATAGACTAGACTATAGACTAGACTATAGACTAGACTATAGACTAGACTATAGACTAGACTATAGACTAGACTATAGACTAGACTATAGACTAGACTATAGACTAGACTATAGACTAGACTATAGACTAGACTATAGACTAGACTATAGACTAGACTAGACTAGACTAGACTAGACTATAGACTAGACTATAGACTAGACTATAGACTAGACTATAGACTAGACTATAGACTAGACTATAGACTAGACTATAGACTAGACTATAGACTAGACTATAGACTAGACTATAGACTAGACTATAGACTAGACTATAGACTAGACTATAGACTAGACTATAGACTAGACTATAGACTAGACTATAGACTAGACTATAGACTAGACTATAGACTAGACTATAGACTAGACTATAGACTAGACTATAGACTAGACTATAGACTAGACTATAGACTAGACTATAGACTAGACTATAGACTAGACTATAGACTAGACTATAGACTAGACTATAGACTAGACTATAGACTAGACTATAGACTAGACTATAGACTAGACTATAGACTAGACTATAGACTAGACTATAGACTAGACTATAGACTAGACTATAGACTAGACTATAGACTAGACTATAGACTAGACTATAGACTAGACTATAGACTAGACTATAGACTAGACTATAGACTAGACTATAGACTAGACTATAGACTAGACTATAGACTAGACTATAGACTAGACTATAGACTAGACTATAGACTAGACTATAGACTAGACTATAGACTAGACTATAGACTAGACTATAGACTAGACTATAGACTAGACTATAGACTAGACTATAGACTAGACTATAGACTAGACTATAGACTAGACTATAGACTAGACTATAGACTAGACTATAGACTAGACTATAGACTAGACTATAGACTAGACTATAGATTAGACTATAAACTAGTTCTGTGTTAGTTTGTTAAACTCTAGATTACTTTAATTTTAAATTTCTTTATCATTTTCATAAAGGCACACTCACCAATTTTGCTTCAACTCGCTGACGTTCATGCATCGCATTCAATAATTCTCGTAAATGCTGATTCTCTTTCCTTAAACGTTCACGTTCCATATCACGCTCATTAATCTTGGGCTAAATTAATAAACACATAAAAAAGAACCAATTAAATAAAGAAACAAATTATTGTATTCATGATAAACCTCCTCCACTCACCAATAGTAAAGATATTTGATTATTTAATACACTGACAATATTGCTCAAAGCATGACATGGCACACTTGGCTCCAAGGAATTGGCATGTTGTATACGATTTGGTCCACATAATGTTGGTAAATGACCATTAGGATTTGTGCTGCTGCTACTGCTAGTGGTGTTGTTACTGGTGCTGATGATGGTGGTACTCGTACTCACAGGTAGAGATGTCGTCAAAGGTAACGTTTGTGTTGAGTTATCAACCATTGCAGATAAAGCCGTATTCAATTTGTTAATGTTTGACTAGAATAGGAAGGAAAATGTTATTGAAAATGGCAACAAATTCAAAATTTAATTTAGATCTGAAATTTAACTGAACTAGAACTGAAATAGAATTGAACTAGAACTGAACTAGAACTAAACTAGAACTGAATTAGAACTGAACCAGAACTGAACTAGAACTGAACTAGAACTGAACTAGAACGCAACTAGAACTCAACTAGAACTGCACTAGAACTGAACTAAAACTGAACTTGAACTAGAACTGAACTCAACTAGAAATGAGTTCCTTTGAATCCAACGGGAAACTAAAACCTTTAAAAACACTTACCAAACATTCATAGGCCTCATTTATTTCGATATGTTCACTATTCAGAGAAATCTCCTCATCGGCCTGTGTAGCATTACTGTTTTGTCTTTGTGGTTCTGCGGTCATAGAAGTAGTGGTCACTATTGGATTCACTGCATCATCTTTAACATCTTTAGCATCATTGTCTTCCTTCTTGCTGCTTTCCTCTTTAACAACATTCTCTTCCAAAGGAGCACTTTCACATTCGGCTGTATGCATAGCAGAGTCCTCATCCTTGTCATCTTCATCTTCAATAGTAGCTATGGGTGCAATGGGTTCAGTTTTAACCCCTTCACTTTCTTGTTCATTTTCTGTCGCAAACGATGTGGCCGTAGTTTTAGGCTCTTCTAAGGTCTTTTCGTTTTCTTCTTTGGTAGCAGACTCGTTTTCTGGCTCATTTTCCTCTTCGTCTTCTTTGATTTCGGGAGATTTGTGAGCCTCAACTTTACTGTGTAAATGATCGTTGAGGGCATGTGTTACCTCATCGGCCGATTCTTCAGGAATGCTATCAGCACTTATCGTACTTTGACGTTTAACTAATTCGGGAGTTGTGTTTGTAGTGGAGCTGGCGCTGCTGCTACTTGTTATTGTAGCTGCTGCGACTGCTGGTATGGAGGAGTTTTGATTTAAGGTTTTTGCTGGTGGCGGTGGTGGTGGAGGCGGAGTTTTAAAGGTACCAGCTGGTGGTGGTAAGGGTGGAGGTGGTGAACCCTGTTTGGCTCCACTCGCTTTTACGGCTGGTGGCAAAGGTGGTGGAGTAGCTGTTGTAGGTGTCTTTGTCAGGGGAGGTAAAGCTGGTAAACGCAACTCATCGATTTCACAATAACCATCATCGTCCTCATGTATATTGGCATCTTCCAAAGCACATGTTTGCATTTTAGTTACTGAAGGAGCTGGTGTCTGCTGTTGGGCCTGGGCCATTTGTTTATTGGGAGGCGGCAAAGGCGGTGGTATATCAGAACTTGTGCTGGTTGTAGCTTTCGTTTCTGCCTTCCCGCAAGCCACATTGGAACGTGTACGTGAATGTGGTTGATTTTCTCGTTTCTCGTGACATTTATCACAAACCGCTGTGGAAACAGCCGAAACTTCCTGTTCGGGTGTTACCTTCATATAATCGTTTATCACCTCGGTCAAAGACTGAACCTGTGCGTAGGCAGCCAATGCTATATCGGTGCTATCCTTGGGCGCTTCAGGCATGGTCGCTATATCTACTATCTCATGGAAATGTTCAACTGGTAAACGGAACATATCACAAATAATCTTTTGTTTCTCCATTAAACCGTCACGTATACTAGCATCCAAACGCCTTAGCTTTTCGGCAGGCGTCAGTACCGGTTCGGCGGTATGGGCCGGACTTATACTGATCTGTATAGCGGTAGGTTCAACTAACGGAGGTGATGACTGCATTAAAGTACGGGTATTATTGGAATTATTGGAGTAAACAATACTAGCGCTGTCCCTTTTATTCGCCACACCAGCGGCGGCTAAAGCAGCGGCCGCGGCTTCTTCCGTAGAGCCGTTGGCCTGTCTGGCAGACTGGGTATGCCTGAGAGTAACACCATTGGCACCAGCAAATTCTGGCGAAGTGTTACTGTAATTATGATTGGCATCACCACAGCTGCGTGTCGACATGGTGCGATTAACAGCATTGATATTCGGTGATAATTCATTGTGACTTAATCTTTGTTTGATATTATAATAGGGTGGATAGGCATCACCGGGTGCCGATGATGAGGTGGGTGTACTCTCACGTCGACCATTGCGCAATTGTACATCGTTATTATTGGTTTGTGCAAAGCCGCTGCGTTCTTGACTAACCGATGGTATTGGCATCATGGGTGCCAAAGGTGTGGTTATCAGGGTAGCGGTGGCCGACTGGGGTGGCGGCCGTTCGGGTGTCAACTCCAGCGATTCACGTGTATTGGAATGTGGTAATGTAGCAATAGCTGGATCGTCCACAGGTTCTTGATTAGCATTCTTAGAGCGGGGCTTGTATTGTTCAGCAGCATCGGAGATATGTTTAAACCACCTAGAGGGATAAGAGATAAAAATAAGTAAATTAGTTTAGAAAATTCTCTAGATATTAAAGGAAAATCCTAGATTTGAAGTAAAATATCTCTCTCTCTCTCTTTTGCTGTTACGTTTATTTAAACTTTTACCTGGACACCAATGAAGCTCTCCGGCCGCCATTTTCTTTGGCACTTGTATTTGTTGTGGGCTCATTAAAACTGCCACGTCTACGTTCTTTTTTACTTTTACTCGGTGTTGTGCTACCGCTCTCACTCTGATGTTTATTGGTGAGTGTTAGCAGTGTGCCATTGCAGAGACTTTTACGTCTTACCCCGCTGAAGATATCATCAGGTGATAGAAAATTCATGGTGTCGTTGTTAAATTGATTTCAATTCAATTCGTATTTAAAAGTGCATTAATTATATTATTAATTATTAATTTAAAATAGTTTGTATGGCACATTGTTTTGTTTTAAACTTTTGTTAATTGAGTTAACTGAAATTTTAATTTTTGGTTTGATTTAGTCGGGCGATAATGCTATAATGTGGAAAATTGTTTAAATAATTGTTATAGTTATTGCAGTTTAAGTTCTTTAATGTATTTCTCAACTCTTTAATCGATTCATTTTTTTAACAAATTGTAAGGTTATGGCAACTCTTGCTTTAGAAAGTTTCATTAAGAAGAATTTTTACGATTTCGCTTTAATAAATGAATACATAATTTCATATATATAAGTAAATAATGAACTTCAAGTATTTATTTTTACTACAATAATTCCATATCCCAACTAACAATTTGACCTTGACTATTTTATCTCAAAAAATGACAAAAACAAAAACTGTTAAAGTATCCATTCACTAGAAGAACCCAATAATTTATTGAAAATAAACAGACAAACCGGCGGAGGCAGTCAAATAGATAGACATTGATTTTATTTATTCCAAAGAATGAAAATTTACATATGAATGAAGGAATATACAGTTTAATGAATGTATGTATGTTTGTATATAGTATGTACATAAGTATATTGAATGACCACAATATGATGCTTGTGGGTTTACACTTCTTTACGGACAAATGGTTGCAGGTTTTGCAGAATGAATAATACGAATATATAAATAATGAACGAGCGAAAAGGTGGTAAAGTTAATAAACATCTGAATTATTTAAATTATATGTAATTAAAAGAAACGCATACATATAATAAATGCAAGAGAAAATTGTATGATTAATTAATTCATTAATTACTTTAAGGTTAAACAAAATACCTACATACATATATTCTGGGAATAGTATTAAGAAGTATTTTCTGTTTAAAATAAAGTTCTTAATTGGAATTAAATGTTATGTTTAAATATTATGAATCAGTTGTTAAGATTTGGGCATACTTTTCTGTTTTATAATTTTGCCAGTTTCTGGAGAAATTTCTAATTGAAAGTTACTTTATCTATTTTCTCAGAATATTTCCTAAATTTTACTTAAGCCTTAACCACCATTTAAACTGCAAATGACATCTAAGTTATGTTAAGCTATTGCTGCACTTGTCCTTGCAACTGTCACTGACAATTGCAACAAAAATATTGCATGCGGTTGAATTGCTATTGCATTATTGCTGAGTACAAGTTTAGCAAATGAAAAACTATAGTTGGCATCATTGTTTTAGGTCAAACACAGGCGCACTATATTGATAAGTTTTCAGGTAGGTACAGAATCTATTTCTAGGATCTATTAATAGACATTAGGTTAATGTTAGCTTATAAAGACAATTAGTTAGTGATTTAGTGGCTCTCCATATTTTAAACTGGTTCTTTTGTAATACCCCAGAAGGATCATGTTTCGACCTACCAATCTGGACTTTTATTTGTCCGTATAAGGTTTAATGTTCAATAAACTATAAGCCAGAAAGAAAGAATCTACTTTCAAAATTATTCAAGCACAAAAGAAATGAATTCGTGGCTTTGTTTGTCACAATCAATGAATTCGAACCAGACGAGAATTAGTTTCACTTAACCATACGGAAAGAGAGAGATAGAGTGTCTCCTGATATTACTGAGCCAATATTTAAGAAGTATCGATACTAGTAGGGACATGAACTTATTGGCGAATTTGAGAAAAATGGAGCAAATTCATTGAAGTTTTTATAGAAAATGGAGTTGTTGTTGTTATAACAGTTCGACTATGGCCGATAGTTCTTTCCTGGGAAACATTTTCAGTTGAAACAACTGTCGCTGGTTGGAGCGAATTCATTAAAGTTTTTATTGAAAATGGAGTTGTTGTTGTTATAACAGTTCAACTTTGGCCGATAGTTCTTTCCTGGGAAACATTTTCAGTTGATATAGCTGTCGCTGGGTTGGCAATCTTTTTTCGAGTATGACTTGGTCCGGAGCGCAAATCCAATTGTCCTGAAAACTGGAAAATGGAATTTAAAAGCTTAAAACTCTAGAAACAAGAACTGGTTTCACTTAACCATACGGAAAGAGAGAGATAGAGTATCTCCTTACCGTGCCCATATTCAACAAGTATAGATACTAGTAAGGACATGAAATTATTGGCGAATTTGAGAAAAGTGGAGCAAATTCATTGAAATTTTTATAGAAAATGGAGTTGTTGTTATAACAGTTCGACTTTGGCCGATAGTTCTTTCCTGAGAAACATTTTCAGTTGATACAACTGTCGCTGGTTAGAGCGAATTCATTGAAGTTTTTATAGAAAATGGAGTTGTTGTTGTTATAACAGTTCGACTTTGGCAGATAGTTCATTCCTGAGAAACATTTTCAGTTGATACAGCTGTCGCTGGGTTAGAAATCTTTGTTCAAGTGTGACTTGGTCCAGAGTGTGGATCCAATTGCCCTGGGAACTAGAAAATGATTTTTAAAAGCTAAAAAACCTAACCTAACCTAAAGTGGAGCGAATTCATTAAAGTTTTTATAGTAAATGGAGTTGTTGTTGTAACGGTTCGACTGTGGCCGATAGTTTTATTTTTTTTTATTTTTATTTAACAATATTCAATAACCTAGCCTATAGGCCATAAGCGGTTACAAATTTCTACTTCACACTACTACTTCTTCACTTTTTTCTGGGGAAAAAACTTTCCGTGGATACAACTATCGCTGGGTTGACGATCATTGATCGAGTATAACTCCGTCATTCCGGAACAACGATCCAATTGTCCTGGGAACTAGAAAATGGAATTTAAAAGCTTCGATTATGAAAGGTCGGGATATATTTTCATAAAAAATATCTACCATTGAATTGATTTCATCATATATGTAAATTCGCCTTGCATACTACCCTGTGAAACTCTCTACCTTTCGGGCAGAGTTTAAGTTCTTATATGTACATAAACCGTACCCCTAACCATACCTGATCCATCGTTGATTACTACACAAAATCGTCAATGCATAATGACCTAATCAAACAGAACTTAGTGGCGAATACAAAATAAGTGAACAAGGCGAAAGTAACTAAGGTGAAGTCAATGAAAATTTCTATTAAAGCAAAGCTATATGTATAGCGATTTATAGCCTAGGGAAAGGTGCATCTATAGCAGTTGAAGACACTAAGGAATTCCGAAAAGTGGGGCGAATTCATTACATCTTTTATATATGCAGTTTGATATCGTTAGGCGTCGATTATGAGTGACTTTTTATGCATATAGAGTTTGTTAGTTTTATACTTGAGAAGTTCGCTTTGAGAGAGAATTCATATGAATTCATGCTACACTCTAACCCTTCAAATAAAACACTCTTTCAGACAATTGAACATTTTCGCTGCAATTTCTTTTTTTAAGAGTTAAAATATAGATTTCCCTTATAAATAATTCTTTAAATTGAATTTAAAATAATTTTAAGCGAATTTATTTCTCCCAAGTTGTGACATTTTAAATGCATGCATGTCAAAATTGTATGAATAAACGCTAATTTTGTAAACTACTCTCGCGTTTTTCTCCTATAAATAGAAGAAAATCCTTGATAACATTTCTAAAACGTGTTTTACACAACATATGTATGTATTCGTGACAGTATTCGGAGACATCTAGACACAGAGTGACAAAATTAAAAGGTTTCCAACACTAAACAACATCCTAAAAAAAAGCACTGAATATTATTATTTAATGTGATTTTATTGTTTCATAAACATAATACGACCTTGATTGTCAAAATGTGTATGAATTTGTGTTATAAATAAAAATATGTATATGTATTTTATCCTTGCAAACTGTAAGGATAACATGTGATTTAATGGTTGTGCTGGAGGAGGTTAAGGAGGTGTTAGATGTAATCTAATAGACGCATTCATAAATTCTATTATAATTTTATGTTATATTCACTTGACAACATTTAACGAAATTTAAACGTACGTAATGTTTGTGTCTCCCTTCTTTTTTGGTTTTGCAAAAAGTCTTTCTAACATTTAATGGATTTTTGTAACCATAGAGATCAAATAAATATCAAATAAAAATAAAAATCAAATTATATTTGGTAATGGAAATGCTTAAACTAAGTTGTTATAATCAAAAAGGATTTCAGGATTGATTATCTTAAACGAGATTTTTGCAAATAGCAATTCAAAGGCAGTTTAAGCGAACAGTTGAATAGACAGAGAGATTATGGAGGGGTTTATAGGATTTTATTTAAGTTGTAATGTGGATAAGTTTGTTCATTTGTTATTCACAGCTCTCAGGAATCCTTAGAATTTTCCAATTAGGGTTCTTGAGGAATATAAATGAACATCGAACGATAACATTTCATAGGTTTTTACATAAAGTCTTTTGATCAAATTGCCCATGTAAAGAAGGACACAATTGGCAACAAACAGCTGTCAAAAGTGACACTACAACAATTCTGAAATGTTACATCATTGGTTTTTTATATCAAATCCAAAAGATGTCATATTTTTCCATTAAAATCAAGTTAAATTGACAGCTAACCTTTATATTCACCCCTATCGCCAATCAAAATTTCACATGAAATATGTTCCCTTTTCACTTTTTTTCATTCACTAACTTTTTTGTCGTGAAAAAATTTTCCTGTTATGAAATTTTTTGATGGAATTTTGTAAACATTGAACAGCTGTTGCATACAAAATCAACTATTGTGAATGAATTGTTCGCAACAAGTTCACGATAGCAATTTTTCCTTCGAAGGGAACAACAATTTCACTTCTATTGGTGAAAGGGGTAATCAAGGCGAATAGACTATAAGGTGAAGTCATTTCATTTTGCAGCGAATTCATGAAACTTTTTATATATGTAGTTTGACAGCATCGGGTTTGAGAGAGAATTTTTTTTATATTGAGTTTGACAACTTCGGGCTAAATTTCCATGGACAAAAAAAAAAAACAATCAGCTGTTGAAATGACTTCACCTTATAAGTTTCGCCATGGGGGTAATTGTATCATAGCTACAACGGTGACTAACTCTAAAGAACCAGTTACAGTACTAGTACCTTACGGTTCCCTTTCGTTTGAGGGTAGTTATTAATACGCCTTAAAAAACCCGCCTAATTATGAAAACAAATAATTATTTATTGTTAATT